TATCCTCATAACCTCATAAGATCACGTAAACGGGTATTTCAATAGCAAGACAAACCACTCGAAAGAATAAAAAATTCCCAAGCGCTTTGTGACTACTACATTATCAAGGAACTATGAAATAAAGCACCCAAGGAAGGGATATAAGGGTCCCGGGCCCAACCCCCCACATCGATCCCACAACGGTTAACACCGACCCGCCGGCCCCAATGGACAGGTCCTTTTTACAATCCAACAAAAATTTCTACCCCAAAAAAATTTTTTTAAAAATTATTTTTTTGCCTGTTTATTAAATTCTTCCCAATTCTATTAATTATAAATGGGTCTAATTTATATAAACCCCAAAAAAAATTATATTATTGTTAAAACTGCTTTTTTATGAAACAAAAATTCAATTATATTCCGTCGGGCTTGCCGACATGGACTTGCTTGTACTACTTCCCAACTTTTTGAAAATCAATTGGATGGTTTAAATCAATTGGATGCCTTTTTTTATTCATGTAAGAGTTTTTACCATAAAATTGTTTTTCAAAAAGTTGGAAATAGTACAACAAGTCCATGGGTCGACAGAATAAAATTTGAATCTTGTTTCAAAAAAAGCATTTTTTGACAATAATATGAAATTTTTTTGGGTTTTCTATAAATTAGATCCATTTAAAATTTAAATAGAATTTGGGAAGAATTAAAAATACACTGGCAATAAAAATTTTAAAAAAAATTTTTTGGGTAGAAAAAGTTTGTTGGTGGTTGGCAAAGGACCTGTCCGTTGGGCCGGGGCACCGGGTTTTTAAACCCTTTGTGGGATCTGATAGTGGGTTTTGGCCAACCCCTTATATCCTTTTTTTGGATGCTTTACTTTATTTTCCCTTGATAATGGGTAGTCACGAAAGAGCTTGGAATTTCTCTATTCTTTCAGAGTGGTTGTTTTGCTTTAAAATTTATATATTTATATATATATATATATTATATTATATATATAAATTATATATATATTATATATATATATATATATTACTTGGAAATACGCCTTTTGGGTATATATACACGGGGACCTACGCTTCTCATTCATACACTGAAATGATACGCCTCGGTACGTATGTCCCAGAGAGTGACACGAAAGAGCAGGGGTCCCGGTCACTTAAGAAAATAAAAAACCCGCTTATGCTTTCCCCTCATATAAAAGTTCCTCCTTTTTAATCAAATCACAGAACAGGTGTGGGTCACCCCCACCTGTTCTGTGATTTCCCGCCACATGTTATCCCTGGGACCATGCCCGGCCACTGTGTTATCCATGGCACCATGCCCGGCCACTTTTATCCATGGCCATGCCCGGCCACTGTGTTATCCCTGGACCATGCCCGGCCCCTGTTTATCCAAGGCACCAAAAGCCCGGCCACGTGTTATCCATGGGACCCTGCCCGGCCACTGTGTTTCCCTGGCCCAGCCCGGCCCCCATTTATCCAGGCCCCCCCGGGCCCGGGGCCCCTGCCCGGCCCACTGTTTATCCATGGCACCATGCCGGCCACTTTTATCCATGGGACCCTCCCGGCCACTTTTTCCATGGCACCCCTGCCCGGGGCCCCTTGTTATCCATGGCACCATGCCCGGGCCCCTTTATCCATGGCACCCTGCCCCGGGCCCCTTGTTATCCATGGCCCATGCCCCGGGCCCCTTGTTACCTGGCCCAGGCCCCGGGCCCCGTGTTATCCATGGCACCATGCCGGCCACTGTTATCCAGGACCAAGCCCGGCCACTGTGTTTTCCTGGCACCATGCCCGGCCACTTTGTTATCCATGGCACCTGCCCGGCCACTGTGTTATCCAGGCACCATGCCGGCCACTGTGTTATCCATGGACCATGCCCGGCCAAATGTGTTACCCTGGCCCATGCCCGGCCCCTGTGTTATCCATGGACCATGCCCCGGCCCCTGAGTTTTCCATGGACCATGCCCGGCCACTGTGTTATCCTGGCACCTGCCCGGCCACTGTGTTATCCATGGCCCATGCCCGGCCCCCTGTGTTTTTCCACACCATGCCCGGGCCCCTGGGTTAACCATGGCACCATGCCCGGCCCCTTTTTATCCATGGGGACCCCCCGGCCACTTGTTATCCCGGCACCATGCCCGGCCACTGTGTTAAACCATGGCACCATGCCCGGCCACTATTTATCCTGGCACCATGGCCCCCGGCCCGGGGGCACCATGCCCCGGCCCCTTTTTATTATAACCATGGACCTGCCCGGCCCCTTGTTAAATGGCACCAGCCCGGCCACTGGTTTCCAGGCCCATGCCCGGCCATTTTTATCCTGGCACCATGCCCGGCCACTGTTATCCATGGCACCATGCCCGGCCATGTGTTACCCCTGGCAATGCCCGGGCCCCTTGTTTTCCATGGCACCATGCCCGGGCCCCTTGTTATCCATGGCACCCTGCCCCGGGCCCCTGTGTTTTCCATTGGGCCCCGCCCGGCCCCGGTTATCCATGGCACCATGCCCGGCCACTTGTTATCCCTGGCCCCAGCCCCGGCCCCTGTGTTTCCATGGCACCATGCCCCGGCCACTGTTATTTCCCTGGGACCCCTGCCCGGGGCCCCTGTGTTATCCGGGACCTCCCGGCCACTGTGTTTCCATGGCACCATGCCGGCCACTATGTTATCCATGGACCATGCCCGGCCACTTGTATCCCTGGGACCATGCCCGGCCCCTGTGTTATCCATGGCACCATGCCCGGCCACTGTGTTATCCATGGCACCATGCCCGGCCACTGTGTTATCCATGGCACCATGCCCGGCCACTGTGTTATCCATGGCACCATGCCCGGCCACTGTGTTATCCATGGCACCATGCCATTCATCTTTAATTTTATTTTCCTAATTCGGGGCATTTAAATGTATATTTAATTATCTAAAATAATCAACAGAAAATACATTATTTTTAACAAACTTCGTATTTATTAATTTCAATATACTCATCTAAAATAATTATATATATATTATTGTAACCATGAACAAGTGGTATTTATTCAATAACAAACTGCGGCTAGCCGGGGGATCGAATCCGTGTTGTTTTAGCCCACCTCGTGGGAAGAGAGGGAAAATTCACGACGCTCTAAACCATGGACCATAAAATCCCGAATGATTGCATGGTCTATTGGTTTAGAGCGCCGTGAATTTTTGCTTTTTTCCCGCGAGGCGGCGCTAAAACAACACGGATTCGATCCCCCCGGCTAGCCGCAGTTTGTTATTGATTAAATACCACTTGTTCGTGGTTTACAAATAATATATATATATATATATAATATATATATATATATATATATATATATATATATATATAAACTTTTCTCTAGAACTAATGCTCCATTTCAGAGGTGACAGCAGCTCTTAATATTCTTCTAGCATTTACTAACCTGATTTCTTTGTCGATGTTTTTTTTTCTTATAGGAAAATGATGGCAGTAAATGTACTGAGGAATTTACGACGGTGACTGTAAGGTACAAGTCTTAACCTACGTTGCCTGCCTCCACGATACATCTGTCACGTAGCCATTAAAAAAATGCCCTTACTTCCTATCCCCTACAAAAAAAAAGTTAATTCCTCTTGTCTTTTTTTTTGTTTTAGTATTCGTGAAATGGTTAATTACCCATAAAAGAAACTTTTAAAATATATGTGTGAAGGACTTGCGTGACTGAATAAACAATGTAAATATAAGTGAATGAATGTGTAAATCGGCATACACTGCATGGTTCATGACATGTGCATTGTAAATTAACTTAGGCATGTCTTGCACTGACGTTGCTCTAGCAGTCACTTTAATTCTTAAATGTGAGAATATATACTTTTCCCAACAGTGAGACGAGGTTTTGTGATCGTGGTAGAGAAAGTTATGTGTGGTGTGCGAGACAAAAAGACAGGAAGGGAGAGAAAGAGTGTGTGTGTTTTAAGACTGTTATGTAAATATACACAAGGACAAACTTTCAATGTGTACATATGTGTATTTGTGTGTATGTTTGTGTGTGTGCGCACGTATATGTCCTCTGTATAAGTGTCTGTGGGGGGGGGAGAGGGTTCTGTGTGTGCGCACATGTACATGATGTCCTCTATACAATGTGTGGGGTGTTGGGGGTGTTTGTGCAAGTATACTTGTTCTTCTGCTCGGCAAGACAATCGACTCGTGAACATTAAATCACAAACAACAACAACCTCGGGGAAATGTTTCACAATCGAGTTTCTCAAATTTACAAATTACGGATTTTTTTTAAAAGCATTGTTTTTTTTACATAATAATGACAAGTTAGGAACTGATTAGTAGTTACTGATGCCTGTTGAGACTAATTTATGGACTGTCATAAACATTAACCCTTTCACTGCCCAGACCCTTGAAATTAATATTACTTTCAGTGTTCACTGGTTTAAAAAAAAAATTACTTTTTCTTCTGAAATGGGTAATGACACTAAAATTATATAAAATTGCCAGTTCAACTGTTTCAGCTACACTATAAAGTGCACTCAAGTCTGTAGTTTGCCCAAATTTACGCAGAATTAAAAAATATTCTTTTAAATATAGAGTCCACGAGGCCTGGTCATGGACCGGACACCGGGGGTGTTGACCCCCGAAAACCCCCTCCAGGTATATGTGCTTGGGAAGTTGCTTCACCTCCCGGGAGTAGCTGTAATGTACGAACCATTCTATAGATGTGTGGGTCGAGGCATACGGCATACCCGTGTTAATAACCCCCCCTCACCCACACGGTCAACCCTCATCCAGACCAGTCGAGTTTGACCTGAGTAACGTAGACATAAACCATAAGACAGAGATTTTTTTATATATACAACGAAGAGTTAGTGGTCTCTGAAAATCCCTTTAAGTAAACTTTGCATTGATAATTCCCAAGCACAGCTGACTCACCTCAAGAGAAAAAGAAATTGACAGACTGGAAACTTGGGAAGAAAAATTAATTAAAATGTAGAACATAAATAATTAATAATAAAAACCATATTAACACCATGATAGCCGAGCTGGAACTCTGCGACAAAGATGAAGAGAATTCAACACCGTGTTAGTTAGGATTTGAAGCGCATTTATATACATGCGGGTGTGATACAACACTAGAATAACCCATTATAGATTACCGTTATCTAGAGTAACACTAATGTACATTTTCTTCGTAGCACATTGAGAAAGTAAGTACAGGCCAGGAATATATTAATGGTTGAGCATTCCACCTGACACTGAAATTACCACCCCCCTGGTACTCTGGTACCACCACCTGACACTCTGGTAGGCACTCCAACCTGACACTGATAGGCCCTCCACCAAACACCATATATTTTCAGACTACCCTGGACACACATTCTTCACTAACATCCTTGTAAGGACAAACAGTAAAACAGTGCCAACTCAGGCTGTCTGAATGCATTCGTATCTTATTAATCTTGAACTAAGAGTATAGATGAAAGGACACAAGTGCATACATTTGGAGAATCTTCATTGGTTAGTTAGTTGTGCCGCCGGAGTGGCTAGTTTAGTGCGTCCGCAACTCATTCTGTGAATGGTAGCCCTACCCCCCCCCCCCCCAAAAAAAAAAAAAACATTATTGCAGAGGTCACAATGGGTCTTCATCAGACCTCACTGAGCGTCGTTACATCACTAAAAGAGAATATTCGTCATTTCGTGTTTTATAATAATTTCGTCTAGTTGTTGTACACAGTACAGTAAGGAATACAATCTCAAAAAATATGTATCTTGGTACTACTAAAAAAAATAAGTTTCTTCATGTTGTTGTACACAAGCATATGAAGAAATCGTAAACAGAATTTAGTGGCAATTCTTTACTGGATATTTTTAGGTCCTGGGACCCTGGTCACTCTAAATGAGTTGGAGTGACCAGGACCGAACAGTATCCAGTAAAGACGTTCTAAGTGCATGCAGGTGTGTCCTTTGAACCAACAATGCTAATTTCCATTCATCATAACAACCACAAATAAAGTTAAAGAGCCAGTGTTTCCTTCTCAGTTGCTACAAGAGCCATGTTTCCTCAGTTTTTGCTACAAGAGCCAGTGTTTCCTTCTCAGTTGCTACAAGAGCCAGTGTTTCCTTCTCAGTTGCTACAAGAGCCAGTGTTTCCTTCTCAGTTGCTACAAGAGCCAGGTTATACACCAATGTTCTTAACAGGTCATTGTTCAGCCAGGGCTTTAGTTGTAGTGAATGGCGAGCAGCTGACAAAGTATGTTTGTTTAAAATACATTGGGGTTCGCGAGCCCTTTTACTTTTAGACTTTCGGCTTTGGTATATCTGGTCACATGGGCTTCCTCGATGACCGCTCTATCATAATTCGAATAGTGACAGATTTTGCCTTGCTTCTTCATCGAGATGCATTGGCCATTTTAAGTGTATCTGAGAAAGCCATCTGCATTGAATCCTTCTAAAACATCTTTTATCCACTCACTGGAAATATATTTTTACACAGCTTCATTCATTCTTCATCATTAGTACTCTTCATCTACATCCATTCATCAGTAGCACTTTTCAGTAACGTGAAAGTATTAACTAACACAATTAGCTATTACATCTGTAATTATTTTTTTACTCCTCCAAAGATGTATAATTGATGTTACAGTACCTCTTGTCTGTGTGGCACCTACATTAACTTTTGTCTGTGTGGCACCTACAGTAACTCTTGTCTGTGTGGCACAGTGCTGATGCTTGATGGCGTTAAGATGTGATAGAGCTTACTTGTGCTTTGAGGCATATGTATCTTGCTTGTGATACATTTTACCAGATTGTGTACTAATGAATTCGTCACTCTGGGATGAAGTCGCTGTATATGCTCATGTTAAAATGTGTTAGTGTTAAAATGCTCGTCTCTCGTTGCCTTGACTGTAATAATGTGGTATAATTTGTGTTATGTGCAGTCATCTGTCGTTGGTTAATTGTTGTAGCCTGAATGCCCTAAATTGCATGTTTTAATACCTGCTTTTTCCCTCCCATTCCTTCCCCAATCTCAGCTTGTTGTGACTCTTGCTAAAAGAAAAAGGAGAGCATCCTCTTACGAACAGGCCATCGACCTCGGAGACGAGAAACCTTGTATCCTCGAGATCTTGACGACGGATGAAGGGGGCGACCACCATCAAAAAAGAGGAGTCAAATTTCATTCTTCGAACACTGATCTCCATCAACTGGATGGTATCAACTTCCGTTCCTCGAAGTCGAACTCTTCACTCGATTCGGCGGACTTTCCCTTCGAGCAGAATTCTTCCTCCGTGTTCAAGCCGAAGGAATTAACCCAGACCACCGGCTCCCGCCTAAGCCTACAAACACAAAGAGATCGTCACGTCACACTGTCCACCGAAACATACGCAGTTCCCGTAATGCTAGTGTTCGAGTTAGGTTACGGTTCAAATCATTTTGGATTTCTTAAGAAGGAAATCCTAGTGTTCTATTCAACGCTTGAGACGAACGTGGTCAACGATAAGGATTTCTTAGTGTCGTGTGACTCCCCAGTGAAACCGAGACTGAAGCACCTCGGGTTCGCATTGTGTGTGGATCTCTGGTGTTGTCTACCAGAGTAAACATGATTCATGAGAAGCCCTCAATAAACAAACCAAAACCCGAAAGTGAGACATCGCTCACAAAGACAAACGATGCCACGATAGATTTCTACTTTGGTAAGTGGAGAAGTCAGTGAACCATAGGATGACCAGTTAACATCGTGGCTGAAGCCCGATAATACCCTTGACTTATGCATGCTCACTGACAAAACAAAACTCCTCTAACTGGAAAGGATCCTCTATCAGTTGTCGTGATAGAATATTCCGACAGTAGAATTAGTTACAGCAGAAACTTGTTGCTACGTCAAAAACTATACGTAAGCGCTTGGTGAGGACCCATTGATTAGTGCCTCACGAAAAGTGATTCATGACGAGAGAGACACCTTGCCCCGGATGATCAGTAAAAAGATACCTTTACTTTATGTTAAGATTACCAGAATTAAGTTAAAAATCCTCGTTATCTCTGCTCCAACAGTTCTCGTTGCATCCGTATCCAACATTTAACAGTGAGTACCAAAATCTGACCACCTCTGAGAAAAAAACAAACCTAGAAAGTCCTTTTGCAGTTTTTTCTGAGTAAATGGGTCACACCCGCCTCCGTAGATGTTTTCCAATGTTCTTGAACGTTCCTTTTCATTTCATTTTATGTAGTCATGTTTATGCAATTGTAACTGGCATAGGGTATCACAACTACTGTTCGTCTAAGTGATAGATTGCCATGATGATCTTACACTCGTTACACGTAATTGCTGGAAACAGCTGTGGTAGTGACTACATGACTACAACATTCTCAGGATCACTACTGCTACACTTATTAACTCAAACTCAAAGTAAATGTTTTCTGATCAGGTACTCTTCCAATACTTTATATTCCTGCCGCCCCGTGTTCACCGCTTTTATAATTTGTTGTAACCTTGATACACAAGAGTCAACGTATTGATTATTTTTAGTTTGCCACCTTGAAACATACTGGACACGGATGATAAACTGTTGCAGCCCAAAGATATAATATATATAATATATAAAATATATATATATATATATATATATATATATATATATATATAAATATAATATATAATATATATATATATTATATATATATATATACACCAGTGTGTGTTGTTAACTTTAAAATATTTGATTTTTTATAAACAAAACTAAAATTAAACAAAATATATTTTACATCTTGTGAAGTGTTTTATTTCCTGTGATAAACTATGTGGCACGCGTGACACATATTTACAAGACACACACACACACACCATGTAGCCTCTCACATGCCTAATAGAACATGTATATTTCCTTACTGTGAGGAGAGAATCTCCTAACAGTAAGGAAATATCACTGAAAAGATCATGTGAGAAGATTCTCTCCTCACATGATCTTTTTTTAAATATTGGCTAATGATCAAGATGTACGTTGCATTAGTCTGTCATCCTACTGAATCATAAAATAATTGAAGAGGGTTGGAATAGTTTTAAAAATGCAGTATTAGAATGTAGGGCAGAAGTTTGTGGTTATAGGAGGGTGGGTGCAGGAGGAAAGAGGAGTGATTGGTGGAATGATGAAGTAAAGGGTGTGATAAAAGAGAAAAAGGTAGCTTATGACAGGTATTTACAAAGCAGAAGTGTTATAAGAAGAGTAGAGTATATGGAGAGTAAAAGAAAGGTGAAGAGAGGTGGTGAGAGAGTGCAAAAGGAGAGCGGATGAATGAGTGGGAGAGGTACTGTAAAGGAATTTTAATGAAAATAAGAAAAAAAATTGGAGTTAAACAAGTTAAGAAAGCCTAGGGAACAAATGGATTTATCAGTAAAAAACAGAGAAGGGAGTTAGTAGATGGGGAGATGGAGGTTTTGGGTAAGGAGTTGGTGTCGAGAATATTTTGAGGAACTTTTAAATGTCGACGAAGAAAGAGAGGCAGTAATTTCATGCACTGGCCAGGAAGGTATATCATCCTTTAGGAGTGAAGAAGAGCAGGATGTGAGTGTGGGGGAGGTACGTGAGGCATTACGTAGAATGAAAGGAGGTAAAGCAGCTGGAACCGACGGGATCATGACAGAAATGTTAAAAGCAGGGGGGATATAGTGTTGGAGTGGTTGGTATTTTTGTTTAATAAATGTATGAAAGAGGGAAATGTACCTAGGGATTGGAGGAGAGCGTGTATAGTCCCTTTATATAAAGGGAAGGGGGACAAGAGAGATTGTAAAAATTATAGAGGAATAAGTTTACCGAGTATATTAAGAAAAGTGTACGGTAGGGTTATAACTGAAAGAATTAGAGGTAAGACAGAATGTAGAATTGCGGATGAGCAAGGAGGTTTTAGAGTGGGTAGGGGATGTGTAGATCAAGTGTTTACATTGAAGCATATATGTGAGCAGTATCTAGATAAAGGTAGGGAAGTTTTTATTGCATTTATGGATTTAGAAAAGGCATATGATAGAGTGGATAGGGAAACAATGTGGCGGATGTTGCAAGTATATGGAATAGGTGGTAAGTTACTAAATGCTGTAAAGAGTTTTTATGATAGTGAGGCTCAGGTTAGGGTGTGTAGAAGAGAGGGAGACTACTTCCCGATAAAAGTAGGACTTAGACAGGGATGTGTAATGTCACCATGGTTGTTTAATATATTTATAGATGGGGTTGTAAAAGAAGTAAATGCTAGGGTGTTCGGGAGAGGGGTGGGATTAAATTATCGGGAATTAAATACAAAATGGGAAGTGACAGTTACTTTTTGCTGATGATACTGTGCTTATGGGAGATTCTAAAGAAAAATTGCAAAGGTTAGTGGACGAATTTGGGAATGTGTGTAAAGGTAGAAAGTTGAAAGTGAACATATAAAAGAGTAAGGTGATGAGAGTATCAAATGATTTAGATAAAGAAAAATTGAATATCAAATTGGGGAGGAGGAGTATGGAAGAAGTGAATGTTTTCAGATATTTGGGAGTTGACGTGTCAGCGGATGGATTTATGAAGGATGAGGTTAATCATAGACTTGATGAAGGAAAAAAGGCGAGTGGTGCATCGAGATATATGTGGAGGCAAAATGTTACCTATGGAGGCAAAGAAGGTAATGTATGAAAGTATAGTAGTACCAACACTCTTATATGGGTGTGAAGCTTGGGTTGTAAATACTGCATCACGGGAGCGGTTGGAGGCAGTGGAGATGTCCTGTTTAAGAGCAATGTGTGGTGTAAATATTATGCAAAAAATTCGGTGTGTGGAAATTAGGAGAAGGTGTAGAGTTAAAAGTATTAGAGGGCTGAAGAGGGTTTGTCGAGGTGGTTTGGTCATTTAGAGAGAATGGATCAAAGTAGAATGACATGGAGAGCTTATAAATCTGTAGGGGAAGGAAGGCGGGGTAAGGGTCGTCCTCGAAAAGGTTGGAGGGAGGGGGTAAAGGAGGTGTGGACGAGGGGTTTGGACTTCCAGCAAGCGTGCGTGAGCATGTTAGATAGAAGTGAATGGAGACAAATGGTATTTGGGACCTGACGATCTGTTGGAGTGTGAGCAGGGTAATATTTAGTGAAGGGATTCAGGGAAACCGGTTATTTTATATAACCGGACTTGAGTCCTGGAAATGGGAAGTACAGTGCCTGCACTCTAAAGGAGGGATTTGGGATATTGGAAGTTTGGAGAGAGATATTGTGTATTTCTATACATACATACTTTAAGCTGTTGTGTTCTAAGCACCTCTGCAAAAACAGTGATTATGTGTGAGTGAGGTGAAAGTGTTGAATGATGAAAGTATTTTCTTTTCGAGGATTTTCTTTCTCATTGGGTCACCCTGCCTCGGTGGGAGACGGCCGCCTTGTTGAAAAAAAAAATTATCTCTAAACAAGATTTTCATTGATTTAGTATGACCCTTGTAGGTATAGGGCTTAGTTTTAATTACAATAATAATTATTTGATTTAGGAAAGACTGCAATCCTTAGTCCACCATCAACACTTAAACCTCTCTCCATTGGTACACTTTCACCCAACCTCCCATTGACCTGTACCCTCACCTCCACCTCAGCATACAGGGTGTTCACCCACCTCACTACCCCCTCCCAAAACCCCAACCTCTCTAAGCAAACCCCTAAGAAATCTCTGTCCATGCAATCATATGCGTTCTCCCAATCTAAACCTAGTATTCCCCCTCTCGTACAACTCTCTAGAAAATCCCTAATAAAACCATGTCCATCCCTCATCCTTCTCCCCGGAATCCCCAACTGCCCCCTATGTAACACTAAACCCAACACTTTCCTCATTTTTGTTGCCTAAAATCTTAGCAAAAATCTTGTAATCCAGCACATTAACGTAATTTCGCAGGATAATTTTAAAAAAACTGGGGCTTTCCCTTTTTTTTGGGCACAAAAAACCGTGAAAACCCGTTTTTTTTCCCACCCTCCACTATTAAATTTAATTAAAAAACCCCCACCGGACAAGGCCGTCCACCCCTGTGGGGGAAATTTTTCCCCAGGAGGGGGGACCCAGCCCCCTTCGGGCCCTTTCGGGCCCTTTTTTCAGCCCTGGGGGGCCCCAGGCCCTTCAAAAGGGGGGCAAAAAATTGTTTTACTGCTAAGGGGTTTAATTGATCCGAAGCTTTTCCAGTAAAAAACCTGTGGTCATGCAAACCCCCACCCCTTTTCAGCCCAGGGGTTGCGGAGTGTATTTTAAAAAAAGGGGGAAAGTACATCTTTTTTCCCTTAGCAGGAAAAAAAAAAAGGGAAAAAACCCTGCCCCCCATTTTATTTTTTCATAAAAAAAGGGTTAGTGGACATTGTTGTCTTTTGTTAAAGGAAGCAAGAAAAAACCCATTTTGTTTTTGTTTCATCGGGGGGGAAAGTGGAAAAGGAAGCAAAAGTACTAGGTCGTTTTCCTTTTGTGGGGGGGGGGAAAGTCAGGCGTGGGGGTTGGGGCTTTCAGATTACTTTTGACTCTATGAGAGTGACACGACCAAAGGGATAACCAACAAAGAAAGACCCTGGGGTTAGTGTGAAAAAAGTGTCTCATAAAAAAACAATAAAACTTAAAAAAGTGGTGTCGCTTCTTTAGTGAAAGTTGTAAACAAAAAGACAAATCTTGGGAACATTGTGTCCCA